AATTTAACCTTGTTTCATTTAACTTTGATACTTTATAATTTAGACGTGAATTATATTTTCATTTGACCCTCATCCCTCTCTTTACACAACAAAAATACGATTTTGTAGCAACGTATTGCATTGCAGTTTTGATGAAGGGTGGGTTAACCCTTTACTGCATAATTTGTGTAATTTTTGAACATTTACAAATCATAGTAACAGAAGATATAATAATAAAATGTTAATCATTAACAAAGGATTAACAAATTTTTATTGTATACGTGAGATTAATAAATATTACATTATTATTTTATACTACAATATTAAATGTACGACATATGTATACACCTGCATGATATACATGTGATTCGTTTGTAATACATGAAGAATTTACTTATGCAATATTGTAAAGTGAAACTCTACAAATATTTACAAATCATGGTAATAGAAAAACTGTAATAATAAAATGCTAATATTAAAAAAAATTATTTAAAGTATAAAAGACTTGTTTAATAAAATATGGCGTGAGATTTTGATGTCATGAAAATTCAGAGTGAATTTTAGAATATTTTGGGGATTTATTTGAATATTAACAGATATTGCTTTCATTTTAACTTTTAAAACTATTCAGGGAAATTTAACTTCTTGTTGTGATGAGTCTAACGTGACGCACTGACGGTGTAAACATTATAAGTTTTATAATAGTCTTATAAATCTTACATCATCAATACATTGTAATTCGAAATTTAATTGTAATTTATGTATATCAATGTAAGGTACTGACAACATTTTTATTTTCTCTGTTTGTTTTAAGATTTTAGCTATGGACAGTTTTGACGTATTTAACACATAAATTGTAGAGCAAGGGGTTAATTTAACCTTGTTTCATTTAACTTTGATACTTTATAATTTAGACGTGAATTATATTTTCATTTGACCCTCATCCCTCTCTTTACACAACAAAAATACGATTTTGTAGCAACGTATTGCATTGCAGTTTTGATGAAGGGTGGGTTAACCCTTTACTGCATAATTTGTGTAATTTTTGAACATTTACAAATCATAGTAACAGAAGATATAATAATAAAATGTTAATCATTAACAAAGGATTAACAAATTTTTATTGTATACGTGAGATTAATAAATATTACATTATTATTTTATACTACAATATTAAATGTACGACATATGTATACACCTGCATGATATACATGTGATTCGTTTGTAATACATGAAGAATTTACTTATGCAATATTGTAAAGTGAAACTCTACAAATATTTACAAATCATGGTAATAGAAAAACTGTAATAATAAAATGCTAATATTAAAAAAAATTATTTAAAGTATAAAAGACTTGTTTAATAAAATATGATATAACATTGTAAATTCGTACACCTTGAAAGTTTATGCAAGCTATTCATTTATTTTGTCGTCAAATAATATTTTCATAAACAAAAAGCTGTCTTCATAATTTTATTGCATTATCATAATATACTTCATAATATACTGCACTTTTTATACCAAGTATGAGCTTAGAAAGGTTTCATAATTAGAAGATAGAAGTCAGAAAAATTTCAACTAAGTGAGTTGCAAGTTCACTCATTTTTCACAACTTCATCACCATTTTTAGGAAGAATGACACGTACATTTTTCATTTCACAGAATATGCAGAATCATGTGTAGAAATTTTTCGCTCCAAAAGAAGTGTAAAATTTCCTCTTCTTCAACATTTTCTTCTGGAAATTGATTATTGATCGAAATTATTTACGTAATTCAATTTTTTTATAACGAAAGATATTTCAATATTTTGAGTATAATTTCTACTCACAGAAATCAGTTTTTATTTTAATTTAGATTAAAGTAACGTAATTTTATAAAACTGAAACGTAGGTTTTGCATAACATTCTCATTTTGATTTAATCTTTGAGGGTGTTTTATTTCTGTATTGCAGTCGAATAAGCGGAATTTGTTGCTATGAATATTATACCGTAATTTTAATAAAACGCACAGTTATTTTGCAAGGATTATTCGGTAAAAATTGTCAGTGCTCAAACATTTACTGAATTTGTAATAAAAAAATACCAATATTTGCTGTAATGAAATTTTATAATTTAATATTTGAGTCCATTGCACATATTTTGTTTATAGAAAAGTTAAATATTATTTCAACAAGTTTATCAAATAAAAAAAATTAGATATTAAACAGTATATTAATAATATATTTGTAATTTCATATTAAATAGTGTGTTTCTTATATTATCGCCAAAAATGCCACTTAAGGGAGATTTTTAATAAATATAATTAATCACAAATTGCAAAACTATATTAACCTCAGATAATCGAATATCAACATGGATAAAAATTCAAATATTTAAATACGATTCACAGCTTAATTAAAACTAAACTACTATTTCACATATCATACATTTCTAATTCTAATAACAATCTTCCCCAAAATTAGTTACTACAATTACTATTCAACGCTTTAATAATTGAACTAAAAATCGAATCCTCGTACAATTGAAATTACATCTGTAATGCATTTCATCCTCCAAAGTTACAAAAAATAACCCATAAAAAAATACTGTTTTCAGTTACCAGTATACAACTACTATTTCAAATTTATGCAACAGAATTTATTCGCAAATTCTGCCGAATGGAACAGTTTTTATGCGTTACAGGGAATACGCGTTATTAGAGGTGGTTGAATGCAGTATCGAGCAACTTGTACATTTTGCGGCAAATAAATTCATCCAGTGTGCGTTGAACCAGGTCCGCCGAGTCGAGGCTTTTATTGTGACGGTAAAAATTGTCAGCTAACTCTTTTAAGCCCGCCAGTGACGACACCGAGATGGTACAAAAGGGTGAAATGAATATAACCCTGGGTTTGGCGAGGTTAATTGCGCTACTCGCTCGAGAAGCCACGTTTTTACGGTTGTTGGAATGGCTATGCAAGCTTTTTCTCGACGTGCACTGTAACTCACGATAAATAAGTCGAATAGTAAACGAGCCGAGTGCAAAAACGATACATGACACTGTGGATATTTAATGTATTACTGTGTCTTTTCTCTTAGGACGCTTTTAAAGACCGTTTATGCTCGCTGCGTTCGTGTGTGTCGTTCTTTTGCGTCATACAGGGCGTTTCAAAGGGCTTGGAAAGTTTCAATGACGGAGAAAAATATACTGTAAATATGCCCTGTTTATTCTTCGTTATGAAGCTTATTTATTCAGTGTAAACGATTAATCAGAGTTTTTTGATACATTTGTTTATATGGATATTTTGTGTACTTTATAATTATATGTTTACTTTATAATTTACGTTATTAATATTTTACTGTATTTATAATTATAGGTCCACATAATGATTTTTTCACATAAATAGATTAATACTTTTTTGCAAAGAGTATGAAAGAGTATCAGCTGATGCAATAAAAAATATGATTCCACTTAAAAAAACATTAATGACCTTCATATATCCTTTACACGTCCACCTACAAAAAAAATATACTACCAGCATATGTCCCTCTCAAAACCATTCAACTTCATCTAAAACATTATTTGCTATGAGTAATAATGATGACGCAAATCTAGATGGCAAAATGTGGTGAGCCATATATTAATGTGTGACTACCACATGCTAGATTTCCATCTCAAATCTTCATTTGAAAAATTTAAAAAAATGCGATAGGAGCGAGGTGATTTGTCCGATAAATGACAAATTCGTAGCACACAGATCAGTTAACGTGATCAATAGTGATCACATCCGTTGAAATTTTTCTCACTCACCGCCCAGGCACGTTCGATGCTAATCGACGTTCTTGAGATATAGGCACAAGGCTTTTCGTGGTCGACGCGCCATTTTACAGTCAATATAAGGAAGTCCGTTGGGGTGAACAGTTGTTAATCAGCGGAAATAGGTCGACACGTGGTTGGAATGCATGCTCCTCGTATCCGGTCAATTTTTTTACCGACAGACAAAAAACGAGATCAAAAGGAGGATACCGAACTGTGCTCTTTCAGACGGAATTCTGTTAGCTGGTTACCAGATCGACTGGACCCTATTACGACATTGTGTGAACACGATAAAAAGCAACTTCGAGAACGGTCAATACGACCCCTTTATCCTGCTGAAATTTCCGAGGCGACTTTTATCGCTTTTGATGGTTTATAATGTTACTTAGCTTTTTCTTTCATGGGCGACTTGTATCTTCGTAATATCTCTGTCTGATCTCGTTTTAATGTCTCTTTCTATGAATGCTAAATGAAATGGGGAGATGAGGAGAGAACGGATAAAGAGGTTTTATAATAGGATTTGTGGAATCGTTTCAGTAATGTTGTTGGGTTGTTATTTTATTTTGGAGAATGTAGAAGGATTTTGGTATCCTTGATGAGATAAAATGACTACCGTAGTGAATTTAATTATAATTAGAGTGATGTACATTGTAGACAATAATAACTTAAGTTTTTTTAACTTAATTCAGTGATGTCTCATTTGAATTTATTTAAACCCTTTAATTTCATTTACACAAATTATTTTATTTAATTGGAAGTATCTGATGTGAACTTTTATTTTAATTCATTTAATTTATTTAAACTAGTTGAATGAAATTTGTTTAAGATATTTATTTTGTTTCTAAAAAGCGTTTAAACTATTCTATTCAAACTTATTTGAATTGTTTTAAATTATTTTACTCAATTTGCTTAAATTGATTCGAATTTATTTAAATTATTTCATTTAATTTAGTCAAACGATTTAGTTAAAATCTAATTGTTTAATTTTCAAATTGTTTGATCTAATTTACTCAAGTTATATTTAACTTACTTCAAGTACTTGATTTCAAATGTATTATACACGATACAGTATACAGTATACTTGGCTCAAATGTATTTATACACGAAAATACATATTAAATTTTATGAACACTTAACGACAATGTTCCACGTAAAAGTTAATAACGAAAAACGAATTAAAAGCCGTGTAGGACAATACTAACAAGTTATTTCTTTTACAGACCCCAGAAATGGACTATAGCAGTGTGAACAGAGTCGTCGTTCGAGAACGAGTGAGTCAATGCTTCTACTATTGATTTCTTTTATATTTCGAAATTTCATTGTTCTCGGAGGCAACGGATTTTAAAAGCTTGTCATATTATTCATTGTATTAAAAGTCCATTTAGTTTCTATATATTTGAAGTGCACTTTTGTACAAAGTAATACTAAACGATTCTGGTGAATATAATTTGATATCTAGATAACAATTTTATATTTCACATCGTTTCTGATTTTTATGGAATTATTCCTTTCCTCATTTACACTACCATTTATTTCAAACAAAATTACTTAGACGGATGTTAAATACACATTTTCAATTTATTTTTAAAACGAAAATAAAATGAATAAGTATCGAACTATGTACCGATACTATCTCGATAAAATATGGCGGGCAAGCACGGTAATCTTTTATAATATAAAATATAAAGCTCAAGGGTCAAGAGCAAGCATCTATTACTCGTAGTATGATTTTTGGGACCTCCAGCGGAAAATCAATACCCTCTGGCGGTCCTTGTTTATCCTAAGTTACGCAGACTCCAAAGTATGGTCTAAAGAATATCTAAGAAAAAAATGTTTTTGACTTAACAAAATGGTTTTGGTTTGAAGATATAATACATATACTTTAATCTTGATAATTTACTTTTTTCGAAAATTCACAAAAAATGTAATTTTCAAATGTTTCAAATATCGTATTAGTGCAAAGAGCGCATGGTGCCTAAACTTGGCACCTTTTATTTACGTGTAATGTACTTTTATGGGATTTGTTAATACTCTTATAAAACGTGAAGGCAAAAAAGTGCGAATCAAAATATATGAAAACGATCGTTCAATTGAAACGGTGAGCGAGTAGAGTGAGCCATGGCGCTGATCTACGATGACATTCGCGAAAGCCACTATAGTGGATCGTCGTACAGAGAGATGGTATCCGCGAAAGCCACTGTAGTGACGCGTCGTGCCTAAAAGGTTAACCCTTTACCCTACAATAGCGTCACACTCATAACGCACGCTACAGTTCATATGTGACAAACCAGACACGTATTTTCATCGCAACTGAATTTTGGATTCACTTCTAATTATTCGATTGTGAAACGTTCCTAACTTTTCAATTTTCTTTATTTGTCTTCATATTGTAGCAATAATTAGTGAGCTGTGAATAACGCAACTGCCTAGAAAATTGTAGGGTAAGAAGTTAAATGTAGAAAAGTTTGATTCAGACTGAAGAGATGAGGTTAGCTTACATTTATTCTATCTTTGAAAAGAGCGCTTATTTAGTAGAAAGCAAAGTAAGCTTAAAAAGTAGAAAGCATAATTCTGTAATAACATAAAATCGTTCATATTAATCATACACATATTTATGTAGGTTTCGTAATAGCATAATCTATCAAGATAAAAAAACTCGTTAAAATCCCAGTCACATTTCAGATGCTATCCCTGCAAGAAATATAGTACAATAACTTAAACATGACTATCTCTATCTCGATCCTATTTAAATATTTTATCTTATGAATAAACCGAGATACGAGAGTATCCTCGTATACGAAAGACACTTAATCGAAATTCATCGAACTTTCGTGACATGGTACGCCAAACGTCTAACGTCGAAACTATTCTATGTACAAAGTCGATTAGCAAAGTTGAAATATTTGTTACCGGATCGCTGTACGGCTTCTAGTCGTTGCGACATACTCGAGTTTCGATTCGAAACGGAGCGCATTGGTTCCGGACGAGTGTTCAAACGACAATTCGTTGCTGTCCAATTCGTTTCTTTTTTTTTGGCTCTTTTTACTTTCGATACGAAATCTCTTTGTAACGCGTTATTCTCCCTCTAAAAAAAGTGCTTTGATATTTGTGCGTCAGAGAAACAGCGAAATCTAGTTACACATTCGGTCTGTAGGAAATCGAAATTATTGAAAATTTTGGTGTGTACGTCGAATTTTCAAATATATAAAAATATGAGAAATTTAGAAATTGTAAATATTAGGAGGTTAGAGAGGTAGATACTTGAGGGGTGCGAACTTCAAAGATTTGGAAATTGTGTAATTTGTAATTTGGTAATTTCGTAACTGGATTTTTAAATTTCGGGAATTTTGGAAATTTGAAATTTTGGAATTTCGGGAATTTTTAAATTTGGGGAATTTTTGACATTTTTGAATTTGGCGAATTTTGGAATTCTGAAACTTTGAAATTTGGGGAATTCTGGAATTTCAGGGATTCTGGAATTTCAGAGATTCTAGAATTTGGAGAATTCTGAAATTTTGGAATTTGGGGAATTCTGGAATTTTAGGAATTCTGGAATTTGGAATTCTGGAATTTTGGAATTTGGGGAATTCTGGAATTCTGGAATTCTGGAATTCTGGAATTCTGGAATTTTGGAATTTTGGAATTTGGGGAATACTGGAATTCTGGAATTCTGGAATTTTAGGAATTTTGGAACTTGGGGATTTTGAAATTTTCAAAATTTGGAAGTTTGGAATTTTGGAAATTTCATAATTACATTATTTAGTAATTTGGTAATTTGGTAATTGGATATGTTGGTAATTTTGTAATTTTGTAATTTGGTAATTTGGTAATTTGATAATATACTAACTTAACTCAATAATTTGACGACTCAGTGACTTTAATAATTATGTGCCTTCGTAATTTCTAAATTTAGAATTATAGAGATGTGTCAATAACATATGTTCAAACATTATTTCTCCATACACAAATAACACACACATCCGTACTAAACGATTTAAAAAAAATGAGATGCATACGTAGCTTCAAAGAAAACAGTACGATATTCCACTTAATCAGCTCCACGTAACATTTCATATTTAAACAACCACATAAATATTTGTCTTAACACATTCATTCTGTTGCCCATTTAGTGTCTGCACGCATAAGGTAAATTGGCTTTTACGCGTTTAATATATGATTATCGGTTGCTTTAATAAATCAATTCACGGAACACAAACGTTTCGATGATACGATAATAACTCCAGGGAGCCAGAGTTTATCGCGCGAATACTAATTTTCCGAGGAATTAAACTCTCCAAGCTGGAGATGTTTCAAATTTTCACGGGATTTTCGTGAAAGAGATTCGTTTTCTCTTTCTTCTCGCGTAATATCCTTCTTTCGCGATGTTTTTATAGCGAGTTACTTCTTTCAAAACGTAGAATACAGGTGTTGAAGCTGTATGCGCTTAGTTTTTTATTCGCTTTTTATTTCATTACATCAATATTTATTTTTGTGCTCCTCGTTGGATCAACATTTTTATCGATTATTTCTTATTTGATAGTAAATTATTGATGTTATTATTGATGTTTTAGTACTTTCATAGTGTGCGTACTTGCACAGAATGTGTATTTATTTCGATTAAAGTTTTTAATTAATTTTGTATAAAATTAGTATTTTACATTTTCTAGTGTTAGAAAAAGTTTACAGACTCTTTGATTGGTATTTCATTTGTCTGATTAAAGTTGCTTTGCGAGATAATTAATAATAATAATTGATTGACTAATAATAAATTAACAATAAAAATTACAAGATAATTTCGTACAAGCAAAAATTTTTAATAAATTTGACACAATTAGTACTTTACTTTTTCATTTAATAACAGTAAAGTAGGTTACAGGTGTTTGATCAGTAAATTATTTGCTTCATTGAAGTTTCTTCAATTCCGCAATAATTTTCTGAATATACCAGCAAAAATTTTTTAATGAAATTCACACAGTTACAGCTTTCTATTTTTATTTAATAATAGGAGAAAGTAGGGCACCGATTTTTTACTAGTAAATTACTTGTTTCATTAAAGCTTCTTTAATTCCGGAATAAATTTGTGAATATACCAGCGAGAAATTTTTAATAAAACTGGCACAATTACTTTACATTTTTATTTAGTAATAGAATAAATTATGTTATAGATTTTTGATTAGTAAATTTGTTAGATTATATTCAGGAATGTATAAAAAATTCCTGAAAATACGTGTAACTGTTAAAAGAGAAACGAACGTTCTAAATTAATATTCGATAAAAGTATTTGTCCTAGTTCATATTTACCAATGTCATAATTTTTAAACTGTCGCAATTTTAAATCGAGGAACCAATTCAGTCAGAGATTAATAAATAGAATACATTTAAAAGCGTCTCTATACGCCTTTCACAGTCAAAGGATTAAATTAATCCTCGAGATATCGATATAATATTAACAACCAGCAGTTCATGGTTTCACCTCGCTCAAATATGGAAGTAAAATCGTCCATGTATATAAAAATTGAATATCGTGATCGCATTCATGATACGCTCTGATCGTTGTTGAAAGTTCGGTTAAATCTAAAAATTAATTCCACGTATGTTATATTTCGATGCGAATTGAAAAAGCAGATATTAATGAGCAGAGATGAAATGTTGCAAAAGCGCATGGATCACCTGAAACACATTTATTCCGCGTAAATAGTGCAAACTGCTGTACGAATTTCTATGCATGGACAAAATTGGCACATTTTCAAGTTAAATACGGGAACAGTATGAAAGCGAATTGCGTTTTATATACTGCTAAAATCGTGGGGATTTTTTAAATCTCATTTCTGATGGTACGAATGAAATTTGATTGAATGAATTTCGTGACATTTTATCTTATTTAAAATTTGGGTATATTTGATCATGCGAAGTTTTATTATTGTTTTACGTCTTAAATAAATTGATTTTTATGTATTGTTATTCCAAAGTCAGAATCTACTAAAAATGTAAGTGGTGCTATAGTTCTGCACAGCAGTGTATAATATAATGATAGAGAACTACCTTTTGTTTAATCGATTAATGTATGGAGTTAATTTGTTATATTCTCAACAACATGTTCTACAATTAATTTTTCTCTAAATTAAATAAGTGAAGCCCTCAGCACACACTTTGTTACACAGTTCTATTTCAGTCGCGTAGAAATACAAAATGGCAGCCGAAGAGCTTGCATTTTTTGAATTTCATTCAAACTCTTCGGCTGCCATTTTGTGTTCCATAACGACGACGGAAC